CTTTAATCGGAACTGGACGATTCGATTACTAGTTGGGGACGTCGAAACTGAATAATCTAGTTAGCAGCTTGCAAGCTCAGGCGACTGCATTCAGCTTTATCACCACAAACCGATCTCGACACTGAGAAAGTTCCACGTCAAGATTTTATGCATGGAATTAATCTTAGTTTGCACCATCAACTTTTAATCAATACAAACGCTAATTACCATTAAATCCAAAGTTAATCAGTCATAAATTTTCTCACACACAAATATTAATTTATTTTTCTTTTATCACACTTTATATATATATATACCACTATTTTTAATTTCATAACAATATTAACTTTTATTTTTTTTTATCTAATCATATTTCAATTTTTCTTATTTTTTTTTATTTATTAATATTCTTACTTATTATGATTATTTATTTATTAATATTAAATAAATATTAAAAATTATTAAATATTTAATAATTTTTTTTGAAAAACAATTTAGGAAAAAAATTCTTTAACATAAAAAATTGAATTTTGTCAAGTTCTGAAAATCGTAAATAATTTTTTATTGTTAATAAGATATTAAGAGTTATATGATTTGTTTAAAAAAAAAATAAAATATCAATATTGACAAAACTATATAAAATGAAGAAATATTGGAAACAAATATAGATAGTGATTGCATATATATGTATATACTTTTTCCTAAAAGCTTATCATTTCCGTTACAGATATTTCTCTCTTTCTTTTTTTAAATAATTTTTTAATGCACACAATTTATCGATTACTTTGTGAATTAAAATTAACTTCTATAATAAATAAACAAAAATTGTTTTTCAAACATTATGTTTTCATCTCCAATTGCTAGTGAAAATTTGTTATCTATAGAAGAAAATAAAAAAAACTTATCAGGAAAAAAAATTATTTTTAAATCTTAAAATTAGAAATTAATTTTTCTAATTTAAGAAATCAAATTATTTTTTTATGTAAGCGGGAATCCGAATTATCCAGGACCGATATACGTGGATTTCACTGTATTAAATTAAGTTTTTATCTTTTAAATAGCTGATGGTAAACAATTTTGAAAAAGAAAATAAAAAAAATTACCGACACAGAAATCTACCTTACCGACTGATGGTAAAAAATTCTTAACATCTTCTCAAAAAAATTAATCATCAGTCGATAAGGTAGATTTCTATGTTGGTAATGTTTTATATTTCCATTTTTGAAAAATTACCAACAGTCGGTAAGGTAGATTTCTGTGTCGGTAGTTTTTATATTATTATTTTCCAAACATTTTTACTATTTTGTTAATTTTTTAACCATCTAAGTACTTTTTTTTAAGTAAAAAAAAACGATTTACACGCGTTATGATTTTTATTCCAAAAAAAATCACATTTTCCCCAGAACCTTTTATAAAATGTTTCATGTACAGAAAGAGAGAGAAAGAGAGTTACACTTGGTTGTGGCTGAAATGTACGTGGCACACACGTTTCACGACTCAAAGTTTTTTTTTTTTTTCTTTTTTTTTACAGGCACATTCAACCAGGGCGGGCAGAAAATTGTGCGAAGCATACGCAGAAAATACGTAAAACGCAGGGAGAAGATCTCTAAACGTATCGTGTCGCAATAGTTTCACGTAGCCAGAAGAGCGCTTCCTTTTTTTTATGATCGTCATTTCTACAAAATGCGTATATACCTATATTCGTATATAGTTACTTGAACCTTTGGTGAATTGTAAAAATGAAATCGCATTTTTATCTAAGAAAATTTCGACGATAAACTATAAAGATTTCCGAAATGCCTCGCAATTTGCCCTCGGGAAAAAGCGACGATTGTTTCAAAATAGAAAATTTCTAAACTAGAAGAGAGAGAGAGAGAGAGAAAAAAAAAGAAAATTTTGACATAAAACAGAAAATCAATTTTTTCTTTCTACTTTAATTTAAAAAAATCAAAATTTTTCAGTAAAATTTGTACACGGAAAAAAATATTTAGAACAAGTTTTAATTGTTTTAATTAAAACTTTTACTATTCTAATAAAATCTTTCGGTGTTTGAGATAAAAAATTTAATAATTATTATATTAATAATAAAATTCAGAAAATATCAACAAATTTCAATGTTCAATATTTTTAATGATTAGTATGCAAATTGATTATAAAAGTCTTTCTACTTGTTGTTTTTTTTTTCTAAATAAAAAAACAAAATTTACATATGTTTGTTAAAATGATGGGGAATTTATATTCTATAAATAAAATGTAATACGTCATTAAGTTATGTCATTTTGCTTTTTATCTGAACAAATTTCAAAAATTCATACGTGCAAAGATTATATTGTTATGCAAATATATTATTAAAGAGGTAATTATTATTAAATATTGAACATCGAACAATGTTTACTGATGGGAAATATCGACAACGCTACATATATACGCAGTTTATCTTGGAAATATAATATTATTCGAAAATATCAAAATCTGGATATATAACCAAAATAAATACATATATAAAATTGAAAATGATTTTAAGTGAATAATAACTATTTGTAATTGTATTATGATTCTTGTAAATTGATTCGCAAACCGTCTACATCACTAGCCGATGATTCCGATAACTTTTGCATAAAAATCTTTTTTTTTCTCTCTCTCTCTCTATCTATCTCTCTTTTGCCAAGTTGATTTTATCGTTGCAAGGTCAGTAACTAACGTGAAGAACATGAACAAGACTTTAAGAGACTTTTATTTGCATATTTCAGCAATACGATATGCATGCATAATCATTTTTTTTACAATATAGCAAATTGAATATCACTTTTTTCAAACCAAAATCGTTAATTACATATTCTGTTCTATAAGACAATTTTTTTTCTTGAAAAAACTCAAAAATAAGATTTTTATTGTGTCCCGTTCTTTTGATGATTGTTCACATTAACACATTAGTGTCAATGACCTTTGCAACATTTGCACTTTAACAAAAAAAAACAGAATAATTTTCCAAAAATAATTTTATCAATTTCTAATATTTAAATTTTAATTGTTAATTTTATTTATTTTTTCGAAATTATTATTATTATTATTATTATTATTATTATTATTTTTCTACTTTTACCAAATTATAATTTTTTTTGAAATTTTTTTTAAAAAACATTGTTTTAAAATTTTAATCCAAAGAACTAATTTGAAAATTTGATCTAAATTTGAGAGTATCACTTTTTTTTAAGTATAGAGTGAAAATTATAAATTATTTTGAAATTAACATTAATTACATATAGAAATAATTTAATTCCTGATGATAATGGCATTATCCAAGCCCTTTCAAGATGAGATGGAAAATTAAACTCATTATCGATTCTAGAATATATATCTCCTTCGTTCACGCAACATGGTCTATAATGACAATTTTTTCATAAAAATTTATTACAATATTATTTTTTCTTTTCCTTCCTTCTTTTTTTTTTTTTACTAACTTTGTCATTTCAATCAGAATATATTCTGATCTGATTAACGAGACTTTGAAAAGTTATTTGAAATTAAAAAGACGTTTTTCTAGAAAAATTTTTATAATAGAAAAAAAAATTAATAAAAACGTCAAATGAACTTATTTGCATGATAATTAACAACTTTTTTTTGCATGTATTTGAAAACATAAAGAAAATTTTTAGTAAGCAATTTGACAAATTATGACATTTTAACAATCGATTATTTATTTATTCAATTATATATATGTATATATATGGTATTATAATTTTATATATGTATTAAAAAATTATTCTTCGCAAGAGATTTTTTTTCTGTTTCGTTAAACACTTTACACACACAGAAAAATATTTTATTACTTGAGACAAAATAAAATTTATTTTAAGGAAATAAAAATATATTTGACGCAAATAAAAAAAATAATTGAAGCAAATAAAAATATATTTGAAGCAAAGAAATATATATTTATCTGAAATAACTTTTTATTTGATTTAAAGAAACAAAAATTATTAAGCACAAATAAAAAATTATTTAACACAAATAAGCGCAAATAAAATTGATATTCAATTCAAAATTTATTTGAAATAATATAAATGTATATTTTGTCTCCGAGGCAAATATATCTTTTCTCTGGGTGTTTTACTAAAATATGACAAAATGAACCAATTTTAATATGATAAAAAAAAATTGAAATTATATAAAAGTAGTTTTATTGAAAAAAATTAAACTATATACAAAAAAAATTATTTATAATGGAAATGCAAAATTCAAAAGATTTAATACAAGTTTGAGTTAAAATAATTTGGTCTAAAAATAAATTCAACTCTTTCAAATCAATCAAATCCGATTGAAAGACAAAGAAAAAAAAAATTATTTCGCTGACGTGAAAGAAGAACAAAATAAACTAAAATAAATTATTATTCGAAGCATGCGATTAAAAAAGTCCTCGATAGAAATTCACTTCCTCGAAACCTTCATTTAAAACAATTTTCGGTAACTCGCAAGATAAATCCGCTTTTTTTTTTAAAGAAATCCTGTCCTTGTCGAATAGAAAAATTCAAGACCTTGGCCTTCATGGCATTAATGCGGCTATATTTGTAGCATTTCAAGTATATAATAAATACATTCCAAACTTGTCAGAATATTATTAAAATACACATATATACAAAAATAAATATTTTATTATGTACGCATTTTGCAGTCACGTGACAAGCGATTCAAGATCAACGATTGGTGCATCATCATTAATATTTTTTTTTCTTCTCTCTTCCCATTCAAGTTGGTGGCGATCTTTCTTCAAAACGAAGAAGTAGAAGAAGAAGAAGATGTTTACTTTTTCGTCGAATCACAACTGCGCATCTTATCATTGGTAGCTTGGACGTCCTCGGTGTTTATAGAGGCGAGAGTTAACCGGTCGCTAGTCAGGTCACGAACAAGACGCATAATTCGCGACAGTTTGCCGTCATCTGGCGTACATACGCATGGGAACATGTCGAATCAAGCGGAAAGAGGTATATAACAAAATCAACACAACAGGATTATCAAGTTTGACTGCCTTTTAAATGAAACGAAATTTTTTTTTATTTCCTTTTAATTGTGTGATATTTGTATTAATATATATAAAAAAAAGAATATTATAATAAAGAAAAAAAAAGTGCACAAAAATCTGACCTTGATTCGCGTCATTGACCTTCGTAAACGCGGGAAAGTGATTGAACCTCATCTTCAAAGCCAATATAATTGTGCAAATAACTATGTTTAATCAGTGGTTAAATGTGTGACGTGATTATATCGTCTCAATTTGCAGTTGTGTGAAAAAAAAAGATTAGAACGCATTTTTATTTGCGGTTAAGAATTTTTATATCATATTGTGGAGTTTAAAAAAAAATGTTCAAATTAATTAACAACTCATTAATTTCAGTGAAACAAATTGGAATTTTTATTTAGCCGAAGATTTAGCTAAATTTCGTTTTAATTGAATTTATTGTGATTTTTATAGTTGAACAAAATTTTCAATATTAAGAATTAATAAGATTTTTTTTAAAACCGAATTTCCATTTGACACAACTTTTATTTAGCCGAATTTTTCATTAAGCCACTATTATTATCTGAACGAATTTTTATTTAGCCGAATTTTTCATTAAGAGCAACTATTTTTATCTTAACTAATTTTTATTTAGCCCAATTTTTCATTAAGCTACTATTTTTATCTGAACGAATTTTTATTTAGCCGAATTTTTCATTAAGACCAACTATTATTATCTTAACGAATTTTTATTTGAACGAATTTTTCATTAAGCCATTATTTTTATCTGAACGAATTTTTATTTAGCCGAATTTTTCATTAAGAACAACTATTTTTATCTTAACGAATTTTTATTTAGCCGAATTTTTCATTAAGCCACTATTTTTATCTGAACGAATTGTTATTAACAAGAATAAAATAAAATTATTATTAATTAGTTAACAAAATTTACATTTAGAATAAATTCTAATTGCATTTGTAATTTTTTTGCCAATTTAAATATGCAATGTTTTAAATGGCTGTTTATTCCGACAAATGATAAATTCGGTAAAATAGAAATTCTTACATTGAAAAATTTGGCTAAATAAAAATTCTGTTAAATATTAAAAAAACATTCGTAAAAAGAAAATTTAAATCCTGCTAAATAAAAATTCTGCTAAGTGAAAACTCAAGTATAAAAGTTTCATTAGATATGAATTCTACACTGCAAAAAAAAATTTATTTGATTCAAATAATTACAAAATATTTCCTTGCACAAAATAATTTTTGAGACAACTAAATTTTAATAGTTTATTAAAAAAAAATAAAAATTATTAGGTTTAAAAAAAAATTATTTGATTCAAATATAAAAATTATTTGATACAAATAAATATTTATTTGCTAATAGTCTAGTGACCAAATAATTGAATCAAATAAATTTCTTTTTCACTGTAGTAAATAAAAATTTTAAGTATGGGGGATGGGGCATTCATTTATTAACGGGCATGTCCCGTTAATAAATGAAATTGAAATTGAAATTGAAGTATGAATTTAGTTAAATAAAAACTCTGCTAAACATTCAAATAAGCAGAAATTTAAATTAATTCGAATTTAATTTAATTTGAATTTCGAAAAATTGCGAATTCGGATTCACAAATTGGAATAATTTTTCTAATTAGCCAAATAATTATAAAACTAACAATTATTTCCCTAATTAGTTTTCAAGTTCCGGTTAATGAAATTCCTTACTCTGCTTCTAAAATATCCATTTGAGATTAATTTAAAAAATAAATTTTAATCCAATAAAAATAATAATAATAATAATAATAATAATAATAAATAACAATAACAATAATAATAATAATAATAATAATAATAATAATAATAATTATTATTATTATTATATTAATAATTATAATAATAATTAAAATAAATAAAAAAAATAATAAAAAATATATATTAAAAAATAATTACTATTAACAACAAATATAATTATTTAATTTATAAATTATTTATTAAAGAAAAAAAAATTCGAAATTTTCAGTGATGTCAAGACTAACAGACGATCAGCATTCTGCGGAAGTTTTGGAATTTCCAATGACTGATGGTAATACTTCAAGTACAAATGAAGACATTGAAGAACACTCGAGACTAACCATAACAAATAATTGTGAAGAATGTGAAAATGAAAATTATCCAAATAATGGAAAATTAAGAATCGATAAACAAGTATGTTTAACAATTGTCGATGATGACAATCCACCGCCTTATTCGGCATTAATTCCACAAAATCATGCCGCTTGGTATTATAAATTTTCAACAATAGACAATTCAAATGTAAGAAATAATACAATAACTTTAGAACAATTTCAACAAAATGTCACCTCAATAAATAATGAAACGTGTCCCGATTGTACTAGACCACGTTCATTAGATACATTTGTGACGTCAAAAACAAATTTTCCCTCACCAGATAATTTAGGAATAGTAAAAATGACAAATTTACCTCGCAGTGAGTATATATATATGACATTTATATTAATATCATGAGTCAATTTAGATATTAATAAAATAATATTTGCATAATTATTCTTGGGAATAAAAAAAAAAAACGTTTTGATTTACGTAAATAGAGAAACAAAAAAAATTCCATCGCAACGTGATACTTGACTCGAGTCAACATACACAAAAAAAAAAAAAAATAGTTTATAAATAACATTCGCGGAAAATTTATCACATAAACGTAACTTGTTTCCAACAATTTGTGAAATTTTGAAAAATTGGAATATTATTTTACACATTCGTTAGATTTCAAAAATTAAATTTTTCTTAATAAGATTTAAATATTTTTACTAAAATTTAAAATAAAATTTCTTTCAATATAATTAATTTTTTTTTTCAGGATACGGAACAATTCTGATAGCAGTGATCGTCGTTTTATCATTAATGGTACTTTCGTTAATTGTTCGTTTCGTTGTGGAGAGAAGTTTTTCGCGCAGCTAAAACACTTTCTAATAACAATTTGTACTAATAGTAAGTCTTTGTATCATTATTATAATTATTATTACTCAATAATGGATTTTTGTACTCTATTTATCAGATAAATGAAAAAAAAAAGAAATTAGTTTCTTTGTCATTTCTATTATTTTTTTAACTCCGAAGAAAATTATTTTTTTTTTTGCCGAAAAAATATTTTTGCTCTCACACATTTTTTTTAAACGTATATTTTTTAAAAATGGGTGGATTTTGTTTCTAGTAGAAAATAATTTCACATCAAAAGAGAGAAAAGGAGAGAAGAAAAAAAAAGAAACTGAACGAGGCAGTTCTATTGATCTAATAAAATAAAATAATTTTCGCGGTGAAGCATTAATGAAGGATTTGAAGTAAAATTAGCGAAACGTGAACAGTGGTTGTTTATATACTATTCCTAAGTGTTAGCCGTCCTTGTGGTTATACCAGATTTTGCCACCAGGGAAATTACTAGCTGAGACACCAGGACAGCTTTTGTATCCCCAACTAAGAGATAACTAATAGGGTCCACACTCTGCGGTCTATCCAACATAACACTCGGTCTTTCTGTCTCTAATTTTAATTCGTAACCCGATCTAAATTCATCTTTTATTTATTTATTTTTTTTTTTTGCGTTTGAAATTTTTCTCACGATAATTAAAATTTATAAATTATAACAAAATAGTAAAAAAATAATTAATAAATATAAATAATAAAATTATTATATAGGTATTATAATTATTATAATAATTTTATAATAATTTTATAATAATTTTATAATAATTCTATAATCATAGTATAAGAATATTATAACAATGGTATAATAATATTATAAAAATATTATAATAATTATTACAAAAAATGCAGAGAATATACAAAAGATAACCTAATAATATAGACACAATAATAAACATAGTTATGATTAATGTTTAATTCTTTTATAGAGCAATACATTGAAGTGATTTAAAAAAAAAGTCACTGGCATTGAACCAAGAAAATACTTCTTTATCAGCAATTATAGAAGAATGTTTTTATTAATTTCATGACGTTTTTATTTAATATTGCAATTTTTAGTTATACAATTTTATTTTATTTCTTTTTATTTATTTTTTTTTATTTTTATTTTTCTTTTTCTTTTTTTTTTCTTTTAATTTTTCTTTTTTTAATTTTATGTTTAATATAAAATTTTCGTTAAACAAAAACTTGTTCAAATAATTCTTTTATTCAGAGTAGGAAAAAAAAAATTTCCTCTTTACTACGGGTCCAGAACATAATGATCATCCCCCATATACATATTATTGTATATATATATAGAAGAATCTGATAAACGAAAATTTTTGAAAAAGAAACAAACTGGTATGTTGTTTTCTGATTGCATAAACATTAAACACTGCCAGAGAGTATTTAATTCAAATCACGTACAAGCACTGCCGGCGGCAAACTGCATGCCATTAAAATCATCGGCTGCAGCTTAATTTATTTCAGTTTGTACTAAATACACGTAACTATAGTTATTTAGAACATCTCCATAAAATGGATTTTATCAGGGGAAATTTTTTTTTTTTTTTTTATTGGCAAATATTGAAGTCACTAATACTTGATTTTTATAATTTCAAAAATTTTCAATAATTTAGTTATTAATCAAAAATTTTCTCAAAAACATTGAAATATATATTTCAATTAAATAAATACATAAAATATAAAAATTATTTGTAGAATATAAAAAAGTAAAAAATAAATTATTTGAACAAGTTATGTAGTACGATATAATTAAAAAAAAAATTTGTACAAACAAAATTAAACATTAATATGAAAATGAATTTCAAGTTTTTATTGTGTTTATATTTTTGAATTATTTATTAATTTTTTTTACTTTGTATATATATAATAATTATAAGTGATGCCAATTAATGTAATTAACTCTTTATCATATCATAAATATGTTTATTATTTTGTAATAATTTACTTTTAATGAAAAATATAAAGAATAATCGTGTTTTAACTCGAATATACAATTATCCACTCTTACTTCTTTTTTTTCCCCAATAATTGCTGGTTATAAGTAATAATTTTCAATTTTAAAAATTACCAGTCATGACAAACAATTATATTAATTTTTTTTAACTACAGTGGTATAAAGAAAAAGTAATTTGCATACTGGGTCATTAATATTAAGTCCATCCTCTTGCTCTTTCTCTCTTTAACTAGAAGTAAATAAAAAGCAAGTTAGGTCGATGTATTGTTTGCAAATTGCTCCTGTCGCGACAGATCAATTATTATTTTAATCAAAAGAATAATTTTATTCGTGAAATTATTTTTATATTATTATTATTTTTATTATTTTTACTATTTGTACTATTATTATTTTTATTATTTTTACTATTTGTACTATTATTATTTTTATTATTTTTACTATTTGTACTATTATTATTTTTATTATTTTTACTATTTTTACTATTATTATTTTTATTATTATTATATTGTTTAGAAAGCATTTAATTGTTAATTATTCAAAGATTAAGAAAAAATATTCTTAAAATTAAAAATAATTATTTTATATATTTAGAAATATTTTTCCCCGAGTGAGTAAATTTACACTGCACTTATTTTGTCATGGCGCAAAACTGGCAATCGTAAAAATATTATATATCCTTTTTATTTGTGAAAAATGTTTATTCAAAAATGTATTGAAACGTTATATCACAATATTCTAGGAAAGATTTTACTGTCAGTAGCAATGACGGTGTAGATGGTTTGCCTTTCGATACATCATTCATACCTATATATATATATATATATATATATAGAACTTATATATTGGTTTCTGATTCTTTGGTTATTGACGGCTTTTGAAAACCTTACTCTATACCCTCTTCCAATTGTATTCTCTCTTTCTTTTTCCCTTCTATTTTTTCATATATAGATATATATATATATATATATATATTACACTCTGGACTCTATTTATTGTAACGTTGTATTTATGCATGAGGATAACACCATTGTTGGGACCACGATTATACCAAGTCTGAAGAGAGCCACTTTTAAAAATGGTGATCGACGCGAGAGAAAAATAGAAGTTATCTCATTCTCGCCAAAAATGAGAATCGATGATGAAGCTCTTGTACACGATTTTTCATATATTCATTCTTTTTTTTAGAAAGTGGCATATAATTTTACTTTTGAAAATAAAAATAAAAAAAATTTTCGATTTTACTTTCCCAAAATAAAAAAGAAATTTAAAAATCAATCATTTAGGTAAAAATAATATGTAATTAAAAATTACCTTGACTCATTTCTCCTTTTCAAGTTAGATATTAATTATTTTCTTCTAATTAATGAATCATGTCTCTTACCTGAAACAAAAAGAAAATTTTATTTATAAATCTAAATATTAAATATTTCATAGTTAGATGGCTACAAAAATGAATATATTATAAAATTCTCGAAATAAGTTTTTGAGAACAATTCTAATATTGATAATTTAAGTTGTTAATTTATAATATTATTATAAATTTGTTTTTAATTTATTTTCTTTTCATTTAGTTAATTTCCAATTTCAAATTAAACTAAAAATAAAAACCTTTTTAAATCTTTATTAAAAATAAAAAACAGATTTATTTTCTTTCCATTTTAGTTAATGTCCAATTTCAAATTAAATAAAAAATAAATTTTAAGTCTCTTTATTAAAAATAAAAAAAGATTTATTTTCTTTTTATTTAGTTATAATGTCCAATTCCAAATTAAAAATAAAAACCTTTTTAAATCTTTATTAAAAGTAAAAAAAGAAGATTCATTCTTTTCATTTTGTTAATATCCAATTCCAAATTTAAAAAAAAACCTTAATTTTTTATTAAAAATAAAAAAAAAGTGTTGAAGAAAGCTCCTCAAAATTGTTAAAATAAAAATAGAACAATTTCACCATTGTGATGATGTTGAGTATAGAAGGCAAATAATTAACAAATCAATCAATAGTTCCGAGTGAGAGGAAGGTCAAAACTCCGAGATATATATTAAATAATTTAATAGTTCCTGTGCAGCAATCGTGAGAATTCGTAATATTGGCTCGACATGTTGGACATATCCTAGGGTACAAGTGACATACATCATTTACTCAATATCGATCCCTCAACTGATATGATGCAACGGACATTCTAACTCGGGATAATTTTCAAAATTGAAATCAACATTTTTTTTACACTTCACCTGTCACAATTTTATCATAGAAAAAAAAATATTTTTTTGATAATAATAATAATAATAAGAATAGTTTTTTAATAATAATAATTCCTTTTATATTTTTTGAAAAAGGGTTTAAGAAACTGTTTTTTCGCTACAATTTTCCCTACAGATGAATTGAGTTCAAAGTTTATTTTTTCTCATTCAGAGAGAGAGAGAGAGAGAGAGAGAGAGAGAGAGAGAGAGAGAGAGAGAGAGAGAGAGAGAGAGAGGTGAGGGTGAATTACAGTGGGCTTATTCAATTTGTGGACACAAATCATAATCAACAATGCACTCTATCGTGAATAATTTCTGCGTTTGATTGCATAAACTTTCCGATATTTATATTATACGCATGTCTGACAATTTATGCTACTAAATAATCACACGAAACGAAAAATTTCCCGCCCAGTTTCCAATAATACCGAAAAAAATATTTGCAATTTTTTTAATTCTCAATAAAAATAATTATTATTCTAATTCAAAAAGAAATTAATTGAAAAAACAATAATTTTATAATTTTTATATTTTAATCGTAAAAAACAAAAATAAAAAAATACAAAATTAGAAAAACAATTCATTTGTAATTTTTATGAATATTTTAATCATAAAAAATTGAAAATATAAAACAAATAGAAATTAATTTCTAATTTAATTAAAGAAGATTATATTAATAAAAATATATATAATAATATAAATTCGTCTAACTTTATACAGTGAAATATATAATTTGACTGCGGCACTTCATTGCTAGATGAATTGTGGAACATTAATTATATAATACGAGGAGGAGCAGCAACTTAATAGTTTAATTGCTCGATTGTTTAAATTAATTGCTAGAGTTACGAATACAGGCAACCGGGATGCATCAATAATTGCAGTGCTTGTGTGAAGTCA